TCAATACGAAACTAACGATTTTAAATTGGCTCACTACTTGACTAGCCTATTGGTCCCAAGCAAACGATTAACGTATCCCATTCTAGTCGAAATTCTAGTACTACGCAATGTTTGTTTTGATTCGCTATGAAAGTTTGACAGATAAAATGAGGGGTTATTGGTTTTTCCTATGTTTCAAGGGGTGAATCGATTAGCTTGGGACCGAAGAGAGTACCAGAGCTGAGCCAAAAAGTTGAGCACGTTATTTCGGGACCTTCTAGTCTTACAGTTACATCTATGCTTCTACGTTTCTCGTAAAGTTCCATGAATGAAATTTCTTGAATTTGTACGGAATTTCCACAACTAAGTATTCCAATGGGACTTCAAAATAGTGCCCTGAAATTATATAGAGAGGACTTTAAAAAAACCGTTATTTGAGCTTCAATTTTATTAATCGCTGTTAAATAGTAACATCGACTTGACAAGCTTGACAAAATACCGGCTTCTAAAAAAACACCAAAAATTCTAGGGGGTGCCAAGATAATTCTGGAGGCGGCCTCCGGCTACGCCAATGTTGGTATTACCCTAGCTTAAGGCCGCCCGTAGACCGACAGGTAAGCCAGGTAGCTTATAAATATTTAAAAAGACTAAGTCTGGGATATCAAACGTCCTATTCCGGATATAGGGGAAATGTTTCTAATGTTGGCCTATGAATCTAAGATTGGGCCCATTGCTAAAAGTCTGCTATTTATCAATTTTATCTACATGAACGCGTCATTGGGACGGTGTACTAATGGATATTTTTGGTCGCTATTGAAAATTTAGTCGATTGCTGAATTTATGTATGGGCCCAAATTAGGGGCATTACGGGGGACGACTCTATCTACGATGCAGAAAAGATTGTGTTTTGCTGTGGCTAGCTGCACGCACGCTGAGTAGGTAGAAGGTAGATTTATGTCGATTTTGAAGATTTCCTGCAAAAAGATTAAGCACGATGCAAGTAAATGCGAGAAATGAAAAATGATTTTTCGAAGATTGATTCGCTAGTGTGAGATTTTTTGAGCATCTAGAATTGAGATTTAGATGTGTCGTCCCCCTCGGGCATTACATCCATTTCTCCTACACTGAAACAAGTGTTGTAGTAACAACAAACAGCAAATTGCTTTTAGAAATACCATTCACGAAATCAGTCAATTTAAAGAAATGTATTGTTGAAAATACAGTAAATGTTGAAGAAAATACTATGCACCAATGCAGTTTGTCAGTCATTTTTGCAGTACTTTTGTATTTAAATTGAAAACATTTATGTAATGAAATTAAGTAAGACATGCATTCTTGCTCATCGCATTGTTGTCAGTTTAAACATGCACATAGTAAAAATAAACCAAAATAGCGATAATTTCAACCGTCAAAATTGTCTCTGGTTCGTGATTCGACAAACGGAGCTCATGAGAACGCCGTATTGAAAATTCATTTTTGTTTTGCAAGTTGCTCGATACGGTTTGTGTTGTTTTTATCAGTTTCAATCTTCTGTTTTACTTATGAACGGAAACGGTGAAGAAAAAGTGGAAACTATAATCGAAGAAATTCTGGCAGATCTAGCACTAAAGGGGGGTCTCAAATAATGAATGTTGTTACGTTTGTTTATTTTTTTTATTTTAATATGATCTACTTTCAGAATGTGACGAAATTCCAGAGCTTCGTGAGCTTACTTATTGTGAATAAGTGGGTATTGGAAGCCTTCATGTAATGAATCTTAATTGGTAATCCGATTCGTATGTCCAACGATCAGCGAAACAGTTAGATTAGACTTGAATCACAGACAAACAGACGTAACACTTCATTGTGTATCTTCGTTCACGTATTTAACGGTTGATTTGAATATTATCAGTTCCGCGAACTACTCGCCGCAGCGCTGGCATCGGATCTTTTTGACGTTTCTATACATTCTATAGAACCGGTGCCCTTAGATTTTTTCGCAAATTTTCTCACACGCACGTCTCTTGCCGATGATATGTGCTAACCTCTCAGTATCTTCTAACTGTCTCATATAACATTCTATAGAACTTTTATGCAATATTGTTTGCGAGTTAGCGAACAAGCTTGTTTTCCGCGAGAAGCCAGAGAATGTCGTTACTGAGGACCTATGTTTTGAGATACTATGTTTTCAAGAAAAACTTTTTCAAAGAGTTACGTCTGTTTGTCTGTGCTTGAATACTTTTTATATAGTCAATGTTATGACATAGTGTTGAAGAATATTTGTATGAATTCTGAAACCATTCAATAAACAAACAAAAGTCATAAACTATTAACCATTTAATACTAAAAATGAAAACAAACCCTTTAATTCCCTGGGCATTGGCATAACCTTGAGGATTGCTTAACTGCAACCAGGTCCCAGGGCTTGTCTGTATCTTTACATTTTGAAAGATGCACACTAGTGATGCCAGTTGTGATGTAGCGGACCAAAGTTTGTTTTGATTTAACTACTAGCCAAAATTAAATAATTATGTAGTTTAGAATTATAGTATAAAATATGAATAGTTTCTTTTAAATAATTGAGTGTAATAGTTACAAAAATGTAAAAAATTAATTTTCATTATTTGGCTCAAAACTTTTGGAATGCTACATCACACAGATACTATCTTTGAATTTGGCTTGATCGAGTGGCGATTTTGTTTTCTCTTTTCTTTTATTTAGATCAATACGATGCAGTTTTGAAGAAAACAACGATATCAACTATATTCCTTCTCGGATGAAGACAGCGAAGATGATTTCCTTATGAGCGAATTTGAAGACGACGAGAGCGCAAACAAAACGACTGTTCTACCGCAAATCACTCTTTACTACTACTATTCAATATTACTTCCTCGATTTCTCGTAAAATAGTCAGTCATTCATCGGTTTCATTTATTAGCATTCAGTGGAGTTTTTGCTTTTACTAACAACTTCCCATACTTTTCACCAACCTCGATCATTATTAACAGGTAAATATTCATTTTATTAAATTACTATATTATACTGTCATTACTGTTAACACTATCATTGCAACTAATTCAATTAGGCATATTTAATTGACCTGCATCGGGTTATTATTTTGCATGTAATGATATGGGAAAAGGGGGGACTCACGATTCAGCATGGAGAGTGTATGGGAGCCGTTCTAGGGGTTGGTTGGGGCATGTGGTTCATTTTAGACATTATAGTCTGACGTGAGAACCATGTTCCACTCAAGTTCTGGAATTTGGCCTTGAGACTTGAGATCTGGCCTTCATAAGACCCCCTTCTGTCTCGCAAAATCAAAATCAAAATCAAAATCAAAAATGAAAACAAACCCTTTAATTCTACTACCAAGGTGCTTAACCAGAAAACCCCGTAACGTGGGTAGATCACCTTTTCGTGGTACGTTACGGGATGTAAGATCTACCACCGACTCCTAGTCCTGACTACTTCAAACTAGGGGAACAGGTTTTTTTTCAGTAATCAAAGGAACACATCTTAGTCCTTGTTACTTTTTATGCCTTGTTGATAGTGATAAGTCCTCGGGTTGCCTGGACCGAGGATGATATTGAAACAAGGAAAAAATGAGTTAGTTAGTCTTCACCTATGTATGTGATTCCTAATCTTCTATTCGTTGTTCTTAACTCGGCTCTGTAAAGTTTATTCGATTGAGCCTGTACAAATAAATTAATATAAAAAAAAATATTCGTTGTTCCCTAGTTTGAAGTGGTAAGACTAACAAATCCAAATTTGACTGACAAAGGGGCGCGCCTTTGGAGGGTGTTTCAACACTCCGAAGGGTATAAATAGCGGAACCTTTCAGTTAGAATCGATTCCGTGCGATGAAGGCAAGAATGACAACTGTATCAAAACCGAATACTTCATCATTTCTCAATAGTGATGGAGTAATACGACATGCACTAAACTAAGGACACGGGATATACTACAATAGATCAAATTACTGGTCGCAGTGGTGTTATGTCCCGAACAGATGAAAAAAAAAACAAATGTTTTAAAAAATACCATACCACACGCAGTTCAATTTACCACAAAACATGCTGGTTTTAAACACACCTGATTTTTGAACTATTGACTTGGAATGATTGTCAAGACTCTTGACTCAAGAGCACTATGAAGCATAGTAGTTTTTACTCAAACTTATTGACATTATTGTCATGGTAAAATTCACAACTTTCAGTTTTAAATCAATGTATCAATGTATTTTCAACTGCGGAACTACTCTCAGTGTATATTTTTTCTTAAATAATTTCTAAGTGTAATCTATCATATTATAATATTCGATTCAATTACTCAGTGGATTTCTCTGTATAGGGTATTTGAGAGAGTAAGATAAATGCCACAAGATAGATTTTTTTTTTAAATCTCGATTTATTTTTCCAAGGGACGTATCATCATTTGTAAACAATACATCTATAAAAATATGTTTTCTATCGCATCATGAATGAAAGTTGGACTCAAATTACACAGAAAAAAATGGTTTCACATGTAAGTTTTCTTTAGAAAAATTGGAAAATAAAAATTATTTAATTAGATTTTCGATATCTTTTTCCAACATATTAAGAAAAATAAAATCGTATGTTTTTTCGGGTAAAGCTGTTACCGAAAATAATAAAAAAAATATTGTCTCAACCCAAGTACCTTATTGCATGGCTAATTTCGGTGCTAACGGTACTAACACAATGAGGCACAAACCCTATATTTACGATTGTTACCGTTACGCGCTTGAAACACCTCCCGATTCGACAATCTCACTTCTCACCCACAACCAGATGAGTGAGGATGATTCGTGATGATGGTTAATTCATTCATAAAGCGCGAGACGTTTGGTGAGAAGAGAGCGAATGCATTCCCTCTCCCTCCTTCAAACGATTTTGTCCAGGGAGAGAGGGACAAGTTTGAAAGGCCAAAATTTATTCGTGTCCGAATCAGCTGTCAAAAATCTGCCAGCTTTCGCGTGGTGGTCGCGTGTTTACGTTGGTTTCATAACTGCGGCAGAATTTTGCAGAGCTCGAGCTTGGTCGCCGTGTGTCTGTCGTTTGTCTGCTGGAAATAACTGTACAGTGCGTATTTTCTTCGACTAGACCAGCTGAGGCTGCAATCTGCTAGCAGATAATGAAAGGGTCCAAGTGTGATGTTTGAAAGTGCGTTGCGAGTGATTGGTGGATTTCTGCTCAAAACCGGAAAAAAGCAGGTGCTCCATTGAGGAAAGTCAGTGCCGAGGTCAGTGCTTTTTGCCACAAGAAAATCGAAAGAAATCAACCAAGTGAAAAGAAGAGTATTGATCCTATAAGTGCATTCTATTTTGTTCATTCTTGCTATCAGTGCCAATAAAACCAGTTTTCTGCTAGTGGTGTGTACAATCAAGATCTAGTATTATCACATGCGATGTGATCCGAGAAGCTAATACACTACCACGTTGGCTTGCGGATCACACTAGTACAGAGCAGCTAGCGTAGGAGAAGGACAGTACGAGGAAAACCGAAGAAACATCCAAGGGAAGACGGCGACGGACGCACACTGCCCTATCCAACACTACCATCATTGGGAGCACAACAATCTCGTGCGGAACTTCGGTGCAGGAAAACGCGACGACGATCATCCGACGAAACAGTAGTGCAAGTTAACTAGTGTATGGCTAGTTTTCCTAATTAAATTTGACGTCCACACATATTCAAACGGCGAAAACATGAACTCGAAGGTAATTTCTACGAGCGCGATTCGGAACGGACACAGTCAGTTGACATTTCGCGTCCGTATCGAGCTGTCCTCCGATTTATGAGAAAAGTGCTCAGTACTGGTTCCGTTACCGCCGTCGCGACGATTCTAATGAGTTCATTTCTGTTTAATCTAATTTTGAAGCCCCCGTCCGCCAATGGACTGGCAGCAGCAGCGGGCGGGCAACCGCTCATCCCGTACAACATCGATTGGATATTCCCCCAGCTGCGGCGCCCGTCACGTCTGTGGCACATTGCTAGCACAGGAGTTATCGGATTTGTGGGATTTGTCTCCAAGATTGTGATCGGTAAGTGTGGTCAAGGGTAATCAGTTCTGTGTCTTTCGGTAACTTACATAAGTGGTTTCACACTCACACTATACGCATACACTATTTATATGCAAAGAAACATTGCAAGATTGCGAAGTGGAACGTTGCATAGCTCCGGCAAACCAGTTTCCAGATATCTAGCCGATAGGGTCTGTTTAACTTTCCGTGGCATTACAGCGAACCGCGTGAGCGGAAACGTCATGCAGTGGAGCAGAAAATTGACTCTCATCATTAGTTGCAGTTTTTATGGCCTTGTCTAGTGATGAGTAGATGAGCCATATAGTGCTAAGGAGTTGCACAACCCGCCGCCGTCACCGACCCGTGTGGCGGTCAAATCTTATTTGCTTCATTGGCGCCTTATGTCGGTTCGTTCGTCGGTGGTGCCTGCCCTCAGTCTCTGTTCGGTGGTAAATAGGACAACGAACGACATTGACGAGCTTTTTGATCCCTCTCTCTCTCTCTCACTTTGTCTGCAGCTGTGATTGTTGTTTGGCGCGATTTATGCTCTACCACGATGACGGTCGTGTGCGCGGTGCGTTGAGTGGCGGGCGACAAGCAAAGCTCTTCCCGAAGCGATCGAATTCAGAAATCATAAATCGGATCAGAAAAGGCTTATAGGACAGTGGGTTTGACTAGATTTTCTTTAAAATTAGATTGGGCAAAAGTCGTGTTCAAACAAATGTTGATAAATTTAGATGGGTAACTGAACTGGATTATTTTCTGAGCTTTGAAAGTGTTTTTGTTTAATGTGTATAGCACACTAGATAACGTTGCATTTGTATATGTCTAGTAGCTTTGGCGTTCAACACTGCCTAAATGAAACGAAGGTTTTTGTTTATCGAAAGAGGAATGTTTGATGATATCCTATCTCAAAATGTGCAATGCTTCATACGAATCGGAGAAGGTCGAGTTAATTTTTAATTTGCTTTTTGGCGTGGAACAGGTCTGGGAGTATTCTGCCAAAACTTCAACTGCCAACTTGGAATTGATTCTTAAATTATCTTCGTTTATGCTTTGAAATGTTCATCGAAATTCTCATGGAATGCTCATTTTTAGCTACGTTCAAATTCTTTTAGCAATTGAATTAAAATACTCCGAATTCCATTGAAACGTTCCTTTCAATTCTTTTAGAAACACTTCTTTCAATTCTCCTGCTTTAGAATACTCAATAAGAGCTCTATTTTTTGAAGACTTCAAAGAATTCTGCTGGAATTATCCTCAAAATTTCTGGAATTTCTTTACAGAATTCCCTTGGATTGCTCCTAGAATTCTTTTGGGATTCACCCCAGAACTACCTTGGAATTATCCTTAGTATTCATTTGATGCTCTCCTCGCAAATTCGTTAGGTTCATTCCTAGGTTTCACCAGGTATTTTTGAAACTACTTTGGAAGCAATCCTTAGATTTTTCTCGTAGTTCTCTGTATTTACATTTGTATACTCCTCAGAATTCTTTTAAATTTACCCATAGAATTCTCTAAATAAGTTGGACATAAATCTAAAAATTCTTTAGAAATTCTCATAGAAATACTTTTGATAAAGTCACAAATGAAGGTTCTTTCATCAGGTCCAAGAGCCTTGAACATTTTCCAATTATTTTTCTCTTTGGTTTTAAATCTGTGTTCGTGGAAAATTTTCAAAAGCCGGCAATAATTTCTAACTTCTAGGACTATAGAATATGGAAAATCTTGAATGTGATATGGGCGTAGACCGGATTTACTACTACTTGAAAATACGTCTTAGCTTGATGAGAGACAAACTTGGAATGGCATTTTATTTCAGACTATGAGAATACATTTATTTGTAGGTTGCTTCGATTATTCGTCGCTTGCTAGGTTTCTACCTCCAACACTCCTCCTCGACGAAAGAATCATGGCTGCATCTCGAAACCGCGTTTGCTTGATACGTTGAAGAGGCTTCGTCATCATGTCTGCAATCATTTCGTTTGTTGGAAGGTACTGTGGACTGATGATTCCTTGCTCCTTCAGTTGACGCGCATAGTGGTACTTCGTGTCAACATGCTTCGAACGTCGCTCGCTGGAGTTGGATTCGAGTTGCTTGATGGCGCTCTGGTTGTCCTCGTTCATAGTAACCGGAAACTTGGTGTGGATTCCCAGATCGTCGAATAGTCGTAATATCCAGCATAACTCCTTGCAGCTCTTCGTTATAGCAACGTACTCGGCTTCCGAACTGCTCAATGTTACGCAATCTTGTTTCCTGGAACACCATCCAATCATACCACCTGCATACCGGATCAGGTAGCCTGTGGTTGACTTGCGATCTTTGGTGTCACCAGCCCAGTCGGCATCTACGTACACCTCCAATTGCGTGGAATCGGCTCCCAGGATTAGCTCGTGGTCAATAGTACCTTTTAAGTACCTCAGGATACGCTTCGCCTCCACCCAATCAGCCTGTGAGGGGGAAACTAGTTTTTCTCCCCAGGATTGAAACAGCTGCTGCAACATCAGGTCGAGTACACATGGCCACGTACAACAACCCACCAATCAAGCTGGCATACTGATGGTTATTGGGCAGCGGGATCTCCTCCTTTGGATGTAGGTGGCTTGGGTCCAATGGTAAAGCGGATGGCTTCGCGTTTTCCAAACCGAATCTGGTCAGAAGCTTCTGGATGTAGGCTCTCTGACTTAGTGCAACGTGTTTCTCGGAACGGAAGACCTGGATACCAAGGAAGTGCTGGATATCCCCGAGCGACGTCTCCGTGAAATATTGGTTCAGCTCATTAACGATGGCCTTGTAGTCGTTTTCAGTCTCGCATGCTATAATGAAATCGTCAACATATACAGCAATATAAGCGATTTTAACTCTGTTCTGCATGACGTAGAGACAACAATCGTTCTTGGACGGCTTGAACCCCATTTGTATCAGCGTTTTGTCCAATTTGTGGTTCCAAATACGGGCGGCTTGCTTCAACCCGTACAATCCTTTGCGAAGACAACAAACCACGTTTTCTGCATCCGCTATGCATCCAGGAGGCAACCGCATGAAGACGGGTTCTTGTAGCTCACCATTCAAGTACGCTGTCTTGACATCTGCATGTTTGATGAGAAGTTTCTTCTGGCAGGCGACGGAGAATAGTGTCCGGTACGTTGTTTGCTTCACCACGGAAGCAAAAACTTCGTCGTAGTCGACTCCATATTTCTGCGTAAACCCTTGAGCTACAAGCCGCGCCTTGTACCGGATGACCCTTCCATTCTCGTCCGTATCTCTTATCGGGATATCAGCTCGTGGTTTCTCAACGGATACGAAAAACTTTCGATTGGTGCACATGTGGGAGCTGGCTCCAGAATCCACGATCCATTTCGTCACTGGTCCTTCACGAGCGCTGAAAACGAAATCCTCTTCAGTGGACTCCGTTTTTCTTGCATTTGCCTGTTGCTTGGCAAACTTCTTGGTTTCCTTGGCAACCGATTTTTCACTTCGAGAAGCTTCATCCTGGCTCTGCTTCTGCCAAATTCTGCAGTCTCGCTTCTTGTGGCCGACCTTCTGGCAGTGGTGGCACACAATGGATTTCGATTTCCCGGCCACCTTCAATACCGCTGAATCCGCCGGAACAGTCCCTTTTCGCTTCTGCACCTCATTGATAATTTTATCCTTTACAAGGGCCAGCGTCAGCTCGTCCTCCGACCGATTTTCGAGGGTAGTCGTCAGCGCGTCGACTTGCTTGGTAGAGCTTGGTAGACTGCGGAACACCAGGATTACCTGCAAATCGTCGTCGAGCTTCGTACCAGCGTTGGCCAGTTTTTCAAACAAACTCTCGAATTCTACCAGGTGGTCCTCGATGTCGTCTCCTACCTGGAACTTGAGATCGCAAATCCGCTTCAGCAGGTGAACCTTCGACGTGAGTGACTTCATGTTGCTTCTCCAGATTCTTCCATACTTCCTTTGCGGTTTTCGTAGCCCGGATATGGCCGTGTTGACTCCTGCTCAGCAGCAGCCAATGGTCGCACGCGCTTTCTGATCCCCTTCGTCCCAGGCAATCAGCTCCGCCGCGTTCGCTCGGTTTGCAGCCTCTTCCGGCTTGACTCCGGGCACGATGTACTTCCATAGTCCTTCGCGAACCAGTAGGAATTCCACCTCCAGCTTCCAGGTTTCGTAGTTTTCGTTCGTCTGCTTCGTTATTCCGGATCTTTCCATCTTGAACTTCTTCGGGCCCAAAACCTCTTGAATGTGATATGGCCATAGACCGGATTTACTACTACTTGAAAATACGTCTTAGCTTGATGAGAGACAAACTTGGAATGGCATTTTATTTCAGACTATGAGAATACATTTATTTGTAGGTTGCTTCGATTATTCGTCGCTTGCTAGGTTTCTACCTCCAACAGAAAAGCTACATCTCAGATTTTTTTTTAGATTTCCACAGTCTTGAAGATTCATCTTTGTCTAAGACATTTCTTTAGATCTTAATTAATTTAAGTAAAACATTCGCACAAATGTCCCAGCTAGGTTAATAATACCGTTCATAAACTTAATAAAATCTATGGTTCTATAAGTCACTAAAATTTAAAATGTTATAGTCTATGATCTTAGTGGTTTTACAAACTTTCGACTACGCTTTCCAATTTTCTTTAGAGATCTTAGATCTTAGTGGTTTTACTAACTTTCGAGTACTCTTACCAATTTCCTGTAAGCTTCAGAGAGGTTATACATAGTGCAGAGATTTTAATTTCGGGCCTATTCTGCGTGGTGTGAGATGTGAGATGGCTCGCTGTCCTGGTGAAGTAACAAGTCACCTCAACATTAGACATGATATTCGAAGATCACTAGATTTAACTTGAAGTCCGCAAAATTTCGAAGAAGTTCTCTGCAGTTCACAAAACAGCTCTGAAGTGCGCTGAACTTCTTTAGACTTTACAATGCTTTCTTGAAGATAGTAAAATTACTCCGTAGCAGTTTTCAAGAGGTCATATGCCATTTATGAATGATCTGAAAACTTCAAGAAAAGTTCTCTGATCTTAAA